AGAGAGAGAGAGAGAGAGAGAGAGAGAGAGAGAGAGAGAGAGCGAGCTGTGGCTGAAGTACCATAGACTCTTGACTCTTGATGTTCTTACTGAGATTTAGCATATTTTTTGAATAAATATCTCTTAGGCTTTTTATGTTCACTTAAAGTATAAGAGAATGAAGGCAATGATCTGAATTAATAAAAAAAAAACAAAAATTTTTGAGGGAAAAGTCTGACTTCTGGCCAGAATCATCCAGGGTTTTTCACTGTGACTGAATTCTTATGAAAACTTCTTAACTTTGCAAAATGCTTTGAATAAGCAGCCTTAGGATACTTCACAAATATATATATATTTTTTGTTTCAGCAATGTGAACATTGCACTGAAAAAGTCTGACTTAATTATTGCCTCCAGTTTGAAATCCGTTTTCAGACAATCTTAGGTTCCCTCTTCATTTACTTGATAGCTTGGGGCCGTTCTCAGTTCTTTAAGCCAGAAACTTTAAATATTGAGGTCAGTTCATCAAACTTTATGGAGTTCTATCCTGGGCCATCTATCAACATTGCTCTGGGTGCAGTGGGAGATGCCAATACAGATTATATGATCTGTAGCTGCAAGGAGCCATTAATTTGGAATTTACATAGCCAAGAATACACAATTAAATTCTAGCACTTTTCAGGCACTTGGTTAATATCAAGATTTCTTTCTAGGTATTTGTTTTTACAGTAGGGTCATTAGAGTAGTCAGAGTTGGTGTTATTTATAATTGCATCATGTAAATTACATTGGCTCCTTTAGTAAAATATCCTGTAAGCATGTCCTGATGGTCTCAAAGGCTGTCTAATTTCTCAGGGCATCTTAACCCTTCTATTGTTAGGTAGGTAAACTTTCTTGGCTCCTCTTCTACAACTATGGCATAACTACATTCCGTAATATTAACTTGCATTACAATTGGTTCTCTTCTAATATCCTTTGATTCTCCTATATGATGATGTGAATGAAATTGTCCAGGAAAGCAGAAATCCAGGAATATATATTAAAACTATGATGAAATGAACATAAATTTTGGGAAAATGTCCCCCTACTTGAATCCTCAAGTTATTTTTTAAATTGTTGATACCTCTGGTTCTTTTTCTGGCCATCTTCCTGTGAGTCTGAAAGATTTGGGGTGACAACTGGACTTCCATGTGTTACCTGCCTCCTCTTTTGACTTTTATGTCATGTCATGTAAATTTATTCACCTCACAACCCAATTTCCATTCATTCAGTAAATAACTGAAGTCTCCTGTGTGAAAAGCATTGTGCTAGATGCTCATGAGGGAAACAAATATGAAAACACATAAATGTAATAATTGGTGTTCTATTATAAAATAAGTATGTACAGGACAGATAGAAGACCCAAAGGCTAGTGTTCACTTCTGCAGGACAGTAGAAGTGTCAGAAGCATCTCTATCTCAAGAAGTGATGACTAAATGGAGGCATGAAGACAGATTCTGGAAAGACTATTTTATACAAGAAGTGATGAGGAAGGATCTTCTACGCATGAGAAAGGCTTGAAAATGAAAATCCACACAAATGGGCTTAGATTATATTAATGGTATTTTTACCTTACAATTGGGAGGGTGTGAACCCAAGAGAAGATTCTGCTTCCTTGATTATAATACTTTCCTTTTATTTTCTGTCTGCCTTCTCCAATCCTACTGGTTCCAATCTCCTTGTTAACAGTGAGCAGAGTCATATCTATTTAACACAGAATCTAACAAATTTGTAGATTCTTTAAAAATGTGTTGAATGAATTAATGCCACAAATCTATTGATTATTATCCACTTTAAGGGCAATTCTTTGCCCTGGAAACTAGTTCTGAGTATATGTACTGCAATGATACTAGCCCCTGTTTCTGGGTTTCAGCCTTTCTTTACAAATGTCTACATGTTAGAACTACAGCAAAGAAGGACTAGTTTCTGAGGCCAGGCTTGACTGGTACTTTCACTGGAAGTGGCAGAAGGGATGCACAGATTCTAAATGGGTATAGATTGTGGGTTAAAATTTGGCTTGTGATCTTGTGTATAATTTGAAGAAAAATTACATACCTTGATATATATCATCACAAGTAGGTATAAAATGGGTTATCCAAGCAAGCATGCACTTTCACCTTGACAACCTTCCTTTTTTTTAATTAAAATTAATGTAGTACCGATATCTTTTAACACATAATGGCAAGGTACCAGTTTGGTCTTTCATCCCTCCTGAGCGATCCACTCCTGACTTACTAAGCTTTAACCCTTCAGTAACTCCTTGACTTGTCATTTCCTGGCATTCTTGGGCTCTATCCCTTCCATGGGTTCTGTGGCATCTTCCAGCCTTGGTTGGAGAGGTAGGTGAGGGGAAACCAACTCCTTTTTTTTACTGCCTGACCCAGTCAGTCTTCACAGTATACCACACAAGGGCATAAAAGTATTTATTGACCCTTTCTGCTTTTTTATTGAGGGGAAAACTCAAACCACATCAGACTTAAACCCTCAGCAAGGGCATACTCAGTGGACACAGCCTCAGTGCCTACCCAGGTGTCCTGCCCTAAGGTGAGTCCCTCTCCAGGAGAGGACTTCTAAGAGAGCCCCTCCTCTCCTCACAAGATCCGTTTTGTCTCACTGCCTGCCCCCACAATCCCTAGCAGTATGTTTCCTAAGATCTCACTCTTTAACTATAATAAAGGGGGGACACTCTCATATTCTAATGTCAAGAGAATAAATTGCAGTAAGTGGGGCTTTGTAACTCCAAATCACACAGAATCCCTTCTGAGGTCTCTCTCTTCCCCTCTTCCCCTGAACTACAGGCCAGCTTCCTGGAAAACACATACATACACACACACACACACACACACACACACACACACACACACACACACACACACACACCACTCCTCCCAAGGACTAGCACTAATTATCAGAGAAATTACAGACTAATGCCTTAAAAAGGAAAGAGTTTGTTTTCTAACTGCCACATAATTTGCAAGGCAGCACTCTCTCCAGCAGTCTGGACATATTATTATGCAGAAAAATACATAGTGTAGTCCCCTTTCTCCATCCCATCTCCACCCTCAGCCTTCTCCCCATACCATTTTAAGTTGCATTCTCTGGGCTTGCTGGGAATAAGAGAAGTTCCTATTGTGGGGCCAGATACTCATCCTGGGCTTACTCCTTTAACAAAGAGGTGCTTTGCTATTGCTGTTCCGTGAAGGAATAGATTAACTCCTTATCTGAGAGTCCACTTTACCCTCAATTTCTAACTAGGCAAAAGGGGAGCCAATGGATTAATCTTCCCCTTGCATAATATAGGTAATTGATGATCTGTGTGCACAATAGCTTGGTCACATGGCTTGACAAAGGATTTAGTTTTTTCTGAATCATGACTCATTTTTATCGCTTACAAAAGAATAAGAATCAAGCTGGATTTAAGTATTTTGTGCAGCATTTAACTAATCACCTTCTTGAAGAAAAGGAAAATTATAAAAACTCTCCTAGAAAATTCAGCCAGCATGATCATTGTAGCTTTATGATACATATTCGAGTTAATTATGAAATATGTTAAATGCCTTGAATAAATCTTTAAAAACTTTTTGAACCCATGCCTTGTAGCCTGGTGAGGCTAAATCTGGTCAAATGCCGAGCTGAATGTCAAATGATAATTTCTGCTAAATAATTTAGGCCATCTAAACTCTGATATTTTACCTGCTTTAATGAGTATAACAGGTGCTGTTAGAGGCTTTTCCTCATGGTGCCAGACACAATGTGTTTTCGCCTAATTGTGGGCCCCATTTTTTCTACAGATAATTCGTATCTGCACATTTGTCCTGCCTGGCAATAGCAGCCACTAAAAATAAATGTGAGTTGAAGTCAGTAACTGAGTAAGTTTTTTTGATGATGATTGTCATAAAGGAAAAAAGTGATTGCAGAACAAAAAAACGAGACATTTCAATAAGGACATCTGTGGTCAATAGCATTTGCAACAGAATGAAATGGGGAAAAAAGAAACCTTAAGATTTGGGATTCTCTTTAATGTTATTTTTTTTCTTCCTCCCTGGCAGGGAAGTGATGCTGATATGGTGGACAAGAACAAATGCTGCACACTCTGTAACATGTCTTTTACCTCAGCGGTGGTGGCTGACTCACATTATCAAGGCAAAATCCATGCCAAAAGGTTAAAACTGTTGCTAGGAGAGAAAACTCCACTCAAGACCACAGGTATGTGTGAGAACAGTAATTGCGGGGAGATGCTGAAGTTCAAGCCGTTTGCCTGTCCCCGTTATCCGGCTCTTGCTTCAGAGGCAGCTGGCAGAATCAGAGGCTAATGGAAGCTGTCCTTCCAAACCTAAGGGAGGGGTAGGTAGCCCCGAAGACCTTACTGTCATAGACTATTAAATCCAATAGCAGGTGCTCATTCTCAGCCTGGTGCCTTCAAATTAGTAATTCAGCAGCCTGCATCTTCGGAAGGTGTTGTCTGTCATATTTATTACATATTATGTAAGATATCATGCCTATTATGCAAAGAACACAGTTTTCCCCTAGCTCAGTCTATAATTAGTATGTATAATATAATGGAGAGTGTGTGTATATCAGGTACATTCCCTACCTAGGCCTGTATAACACAGGGTATCATCCTGTCCTTACCTTTGTGGGGGTGGAGAGCAGGAAAACTGTTGTTTTTAAAAATACCCTTGTTTGCAGACAACTGAGTTGTTTTTTAAAGACAATTTTCTATTTAGAATATGAAAATATAGATATGGTGTTTTAAATATTAATCTTGAGCCCTTATTTTCAGAAGTTAAATATTATTTGTTATAAAGTTCATAATCCATTAGGACTTGTTTATTTCTTTATTGAGGTAACAGTGGTTAATAACACTGTATGAGTTTCACGTGCACACCGCCAGAAGTCCAGTGTCTATCCATCACGTACATTTGACCTCCTTTACTCATTGCGCCCTCCCCCTCATCTCCCTGCTCCTCTGGTAACCACCAATCTGCTGTCTGCATCTATGAGTTTTGTTTTTTGTTTTGTTTTGTTTATTTTATATTCCACTTATGAGTAAAAATCATACAGTTTTTGTCCTTTTTCATATGACTGATTTCACTTAGCACCTAAGGTCCATCCATTTCGTCGCAAATGTATTTCATCTACTTTATGAGATGACATTCCTGTGATTAAAACCTATTAACATTCACAATAAAAAAGCTTTAAAAAGTTGATAACATTTGACCTTCTAGGTGCTTACCTAAAAAAGATTCTTCAGAAGTCTATCAAATTATGACACTAAAAATACTATTCTAATTTAATCAAAGTAGGCTATTTGGAAAAGGTTTACATTGTGGGAAAGATGTTACTAGGTTATAATCCCAAGAAGTGGGGGGTGCATTTCATGATGTCTACTCTTTCAATGCTATTAAAATCTAGCAGTTCATTTTATCTTGCTGTCTTATGAATTGTGCATAAATCGTAGGTGTAATTCTTTTTTAAATGGTATTTTGAAAATTGGAGAATGTCTAAAACAATACTTGGCTTTTATCCTCAGCAGTGTTTTTCTTAAGAAAAAGATATTCTTTTACCTAGAGAATAGCAAGGAATCTTTCGCTACATTTTTCGGCTTAGTTTAACTAGTGAGTATTGTTTTTGCAAAGGTGGCTATGACATTCAGATAAAGGATGGGTTTGTGAAACATGAAATCTGGTGACAAGCTCAACTTATTTGGGGGCACACTCCATGTATTATCATTTGATAAACAGCAGCTTAGTTGAAACTTGTGATTCTTGCACTTTAAAAGTTTGGATACTCACCTTGTAACCTACTCACTTTCAAATCTCTTAAAATAAGTACCTCAAAGAAAGTCACTGGAACATTTTTATCTGTTTTCCATGAACAAACAATTAGCCCATTTGGTCTCTCTGCCTAAGCAGAGGATTAAATTTAATTTTGGAAGTAGTGATGGAAGAGAAGCTGTACCTTTGTTTATCACTTTAATTAGCAACCTGGGAGCTATTATTTCCATTAAAAAAATGGCAAGAATAGTTCTTTGTGAATTTAAATACATCCTCAAGATAACCAAGCACGAGTTTTTTTTTTCCTGAATCCAAATACCCTCAGAGCTGTAAATATAACTTGAGTGTAGTTTGTTAGTTGCCATCAATATTCCAAATGAAAAATCAAAAGTACTTAAACTAAAATCTTTACTTAGTGACTTTGTTTTGGTGTCCACAGAGCTGGCTGGCCCAGTCCTCACTGTGACAGAAACCAGGTTGCTGGGTCGGTAAAAAAGGATTGGGAATGGGGAGGAGGAGGAGGAGGGGGTAAAGCAGCGCAAACAGCTTGCGTTTTGGGTTGGGGAAACAGATTCTAGTTGCCCTTTGCCAGCATCCCCCTTTCTCATGTAGCTCAGAGCTCCCAGGTTGCCCACCACTCTTCTGCAGCTCATCCTCTCACCCATTCTCCTTTGAAGCTGGTTTGAGCTAAGAGAATCTTGAAAAGTGGCAGCACCAGGTCGAATGGAGAGTCTGGGAAGCTAAATTGGTCTTGAGGCTTGGGTTGGGTTCGTTTGCGGGAGCAAATGAAGCAATGTGTCCTGCTAGAAGGAGGTGAGTCATTGGGTACAAGTATAAGCAAACGATAGGCATAGCAGTGTGGCACAGGGTGAGGGTTTGAGGGCTTGATAGGAGGGTAGAAACTAGCAATGGAGAACCTGTGTACAGAGATCCTGCAGAGACTCAAGCTGGATACTGACATAAAGAAAGCCTGGCAGGTGGTAGCAGGGCCCTGGTGGCAGTCCTGGGATTCCAGGGAAAGTATGGGCTGTTAGGAGTGCATCAGGGCACTGTTGTTTAAGACAAGAGTACTGGGCTGGAAACCAAGTATAAGAAACAAATTAGGAACCTGATTCCCAGACGTAGGATGTAGGTGGAAGCTTGGTCTCAAGTACAACTCAGTTACTACAAGGATAAGGACCAAGAGGCACCAGAAAAGTTACCGAGGCCATTGGCTTCCTCAGTCACCAGGTGCAGCCCCTTCAGCTCCTTGAATAGTGTCAGGACTGCCTGCCCTGTTTCCTTGTTGCCTACAGCCAGGCCCAGCAGCAATTCCTGAAGGACTTCACCCTCCAAGCCCTGTGCACATCTAGGAACTGCTCTGCCTAACCAACCAGGTTGGCTTCCAATTACTTCTATAATGAAAACAAAAGGGGAAAAAAAGAACATATAAAACCCAACCAACTGAATCAAGATACCAGAGAGAAGCAATTCCTGTGCTCCGGTATGATGCTTAAACTGCCCCTCCATGAATAATAGGCTCTTGAACTATGGTGATTTCTGGGTAATACTTGCAGCATGACTCACTGCTTCTCCTGAGCTATTTCATCCTATGAGGGTGAGCAACTACTACCTGTGAATCATTACCTTTCCTCCTACCCAAGATGCACCTTGATTAAGCATCAACGGGGTGTTCCACAGTATTAGTTGTCATCTGAGTTGCCTTCTTCAGATGGGTGCATGTTTACTGGAATTTCTGAAATGCTTGGCAGAGCCACTGGAACAAAACCCAGTTCCAGTTCTTGGTTAGTGTGTTTCCGAATCTCTGTTCTGCATGCTTTCCTAGATCCTGCTGTGAGATGAGAGCATGAGGAACACTCTGGACCCACCACGTTCTTACAGGGTCAGCAGACCTCCACATGGAGGTCTTGCCAAGATCAGAGGCCAAACTGAGGTTGCCGTAGTCATGTCAGTTGCCACAATGTGAGAAGCATTTAGATGAGACTCAGAGACTAGAGGCCAGGACAATGAAGGACGTGGAAATGCTTTCATTGGAGGACGGGTAAAAGAAGCAGGGGGTGTTAAGCATGGAATAATGACTACTTGGGGGTTAACCTTTTGGAAGGCTTCTCAGAGGAAAAAAAGATTCATGGTGTGTGTGTGTGTGTGTGTGTGTGTGTGTGTGCGCGCGTGCACGCGCATGTGTGTGTAGGTGTGTGTGTGCACACATGCATGTGTGTGCTTGGATGCAACAGATATAAACAAAGAGTGAGTAGAAAAGTAGCATGTTAGATCTGAGATCCAGATAAGGAAGAGTTTATCAATATTCAGAGATACTTAAAGGTGAAGTTTGTGGCTGTGGGAACTATTGAAGCAGAAGCTGGCTAACCACTTGGCAGGGCATTTTCTGAGGGGTTTCAGCATAATGACATTAGCCTAGATGACATTTAAAGTCCCTAGATTACATGGTTAGCCTGAACGACATTAAAGTCTTTCTAACCCTGAGATTCCCAGCCAGACTCTGCAGGCTTGACCCACTGATGTAATATAGCAGAGAGTATACTGGCTGAGGAGTCAGGAGATAGGAACTCAGGCCCTAGCTCTGCCTCATTATGTAATCTTTGATAGCTCCATTATCCTTTACAATCTCAGCTTTCTCATCTGTCAGTTAAGATTGGAGGAATTTGTCTCACTGGCCCTTATACAGAGCAAATAATAGATTTTAAAGTGCTTTGAAAAGTAGAAGGTATTGTGTTATTCACAGGTGAGCACTTGGTAAATGAGTTTATATGGGAGAACAGCTTGACTCCTTTCTTCTATCAAAGCCTCTGATTTCCTGATTACCATGGGGCTGTTCAAACGCTGCCTTGGGAATAGCACACGAGGACATTATGTTGTGTGTCCTGGAGACAAACCTTTCCAGGATGAGTTCTATGAACTGAGACAGGCCTGGCACTGGAGCTACCCCCTAAAGTGAGGCAGTGCTGGTGGGTATAGGGAGCAGGGTCTGTGAACTCAAGGGCAGGGGATGGCCATGGAACTCAGGAGATAAACGGGCTCTGGCATTAAGGAAACTTATCAGGAAGGAGGAACTCAGGCATCAAGCTGGGGGCAGGACTGGGGACTGGCAAGTATAGGCAATAGTAAGTCATTTTCAAAACAAGAACTCAAGGTCTCTAGAGAATAAAATAAGGAATCAGACACCAGAGTGAAGGCCCAGAAGAGGATGTAGATCTCAGGACTATGGAAGAAGCTCAGAGTAGAAACACAAAGTGATAAAAGGGCTGGAAGCTGCATGCAAACCTCAGAGGTCAGGCTGCTCCAATCCTGCCTACTCAAGGCTGGGATTGGCCCTAGAGGCCCCTCACAGGGAGTTGACTCTGTGGGCGAAGATGAGTACTTTCAGCAGAGTGGAGAGGTTGAGTAACCAGACAGAGCCCTGAGGCGCTG